GGCGGGATGAGCTTTCTGCTGCCCCAACTGGCCTCTAAGAAGGAGGTGGATCAGGCGATAAAAACCGTGGCCGAGAAGGTCCTGGTCCTTCGCTTCGGAAGGGATCAGGACTCCGTTTGCATGCAGCTGGATGATATTGTAAGAACTTTTGTTTGTTTGTTTTCCCCTTAAATATATTTTTTCCCCATAAATAAACTCTGATATTATGCCTACTGCGTGCAAGAGAATGTCATATGTTGCTTTTGGGTAATAAGGAATCTCATGGTAAATATCATTTTAAGCAGGATCAAATTACTGCCAGATCACCACACTACATCAAAAACTACATCAAGCACTCCGTACTATGCCGATAACATATGTCTGTTACTCCATTTTATGCTTAACTGCCACCATGCGAACACTATGTATTTACCATACATACCAAGACACAAAGGAAGCTGAGATTTTAAGGCTTGCTGTATTTCCCCCCACACAGGCTCCTTATTTCTCAGTCCATTCAGTCATCCTCTCTCTTTCTGCCTCTCTTCAGCTTGCAAAGACATCTCATGACCTAAGTAAAATGGCAGTCATCTACCTGGTGGATGTAAACAAGGTGCCAGTGTACACCCAGTATTTCGACATCAGTTACATTCCCTCTACTGTCTTTTTCTTTAATGGACAACACATGAAGGTTGATTATGGGTACGTCACTCTACCTTACATCATCTATGCTGTCTATAGTAATTATCATCTATTTTGCCTATACTAATTAACAGTTTTTATCTATAGTACCTTGCCTGGGGGAGGTAATGTCATTGCCAGCATCTGCGCTCTTTATGACAACTGCACGGAAGGGTGGATGGCCATAAAATTAGTAGGTACTTTGAAAAACTCTCTGAGTTTTCTCTGTGGTAAGTATTTGCCAGCTGAAAAAAAAATACTATGGCTATGGTTTTAGGCAGTCTTACGCTGCATCTTTGGAAGTTTTGAAGGTCAGGTCAAAGCGTATCCCTGACTTAAGTGACCGTGACTTGAGAATGAGCTCCTCTGAGTCCTCTGACTCATTTTGCATCTTCTGTTATCGTAAGCGTTTTTGTCTTGGAACCTTTTAAAATTGTAATTTGACCTTTGTCTTATGCTTATGTTTAGGTCTCCAGATCATACTAAATTTGTAGGAAGCTTCAAAACAAAGCAAGACTTTATAGATCTGATTGAAGTGATTTACCGTGGTGCAATGCGTGGGAAGCTCATTGTGAGAAGTCCTATTGATCCCAGGAATATTCCTAAATACGACCTTCTCTACCAAGGAATTTAATGCATTGGTCTGAGGAAAAGGATTGCTGAAATGATGGATGTTCTAGATTCTCCTTTTTTTTTTTTTTTTCTTTTTTTTTCTCTCTTCTCAAGCATTTTAGCCACATTTGACACCGTGGGACAGTTTGAGCGTTTATACTGAAGGATCATATTGGTCTCCTTCTGAAGACAGATATTCTGTTGCTTAAATACTTTCTAATAAAGCTACGTGTTCACATGTAGAATTGATGCAAGCGAGTGTTTTTGAGCAGCACACTGGCCCCAGTCACAAAACACACACATTGTATGTAAACTGAATTCTTGCTTTGCAATTATATGTATCCAGTGGCAGCATCTCCAATGCAACTTTCTTTAGTGAAGTCGTTGTGTATTCTGCTAATCATATACAATTTTTGTTCAAGTGTAGTAACGATCAGCCACTCTTTATTTAAAAATTTCTATTCACAACCTTTAAGTGACTATTCCTTTCTAATGGAATTTCATATTTCTGCCCATTATTAGATAAACAGATGCCTATCAGGGTGAATGACTTAGCTGGTTTTAAAATGGAGTTATGTTCTGTGGAATCACTGTATCATGTCTGCAACATGCCATCTCTGACTGGAGAGAGGCATCGCTATGTAATTTCATGAGGTACCTTTCCACTTAAATCTTTCACTAGGGAAGGCAGATATTCCAGAATGATTTTAAACGGTAGACAGGATAGAGAGGTATCCTTGCCGTAGGAAAAAGGATAATTCAAAATGCTAGATCCCTTGTGTGCTTTCTGTATTACAGATTTGTCTTTTTAATTAAAGCTATGCATTTAAGAATCGAGTTTTTAACCACTATTTAGTCTGATTCTAGAGCTGTAATTGCAGAATACAGATTTAAAGAATAATACATATTAGAGTTGATATACCCTTACAACTTTATTTTGTACAACTTTAAATTTCAGAGAGATGAAGGATGG